GCTGCTCTGTACGGTGCTATGCATCGCAAAGAGCCTTCGAAGGACCTGTCCAACGGCTTGCATGACTTGCATCATTCGAATGCAGCAAATAGAATGCTGCCTGGGCTCGGTCGGAGGCCATCTGCCACTCGCAAGCCGGTTCCTCCTTTGGAGGAGCCGCCTATCCAAATCATAGGTCGAACTCCGCCTTACTTTTCAGAGAGCAACGCTGAAGATGGCAACGTTTCGTTGAACACGTCGTTTGGCGACTCGACCATCGATGCTGGCCAAAGCCTGAGGGAGGAATCACGGACCGCACAGCTTGCTACGCTCACGCTGGCGCCGGCCACAGCTGCGATGCTACATCGATACAGTCATATGCTCACCTCGCCAAACAAAGACGAAGGGCTTTTGGTACCGGAACTCTCCCCAGCTCAGGTGGAGCGGCCACCACGTCAGCTCGTGCGTGCAGCTCCGGTGCTTCAGGTGGTCACCAACAGCACTGTCAAAGATCGCTTCCTCTTTCTGTTCTCTGACATTCTCGTCGTCGCAAGGCCAGAGAACCCTGCGCCGAACGAGACCCTGACGGTCGCCAATCTGCGGTGGAAATTTGCAGCAAAGAACATCATCGAGCTGCATCATGCGAAGCTTCACGTCCCGTCTGACAGGACCGCAAGTGTCAAGCCGCATCCGCTCATGGCAGCGTTCGTCCACCGCTTCCCACGTGATCCTGACAGCGCTCTTGATCAAGTGATCAGGCAGTCCAGCTTGCCAAAGAATGCCGACACTATCGCGAAGCTTTTGTTTCAGACGCCAGAGCTGGATCGAGAGTGCTTGACAGAATACCTCTGCTCTACCGCGCCTGGTCGTCGACAGGTGCTCGAAGCCTATGTTGGGATGCAGCGTATCACTGGCGTTTCGATCGAATCGGCACTTCGAATGCTCCTGATTGGGTTGAGGTTCCCAAGAGAGGCGGATACCTTTGAAACGCTGCTCATGGCGTTTGCAAAACGATGGACATCCTCCAACGTCGGCCTCATCAAGCAGAGCTTTTCTGCTGAGCTGGCGGGGGATCTGGTGCTCGCCATCATGGCGCTCAACGACGCGCTGCACACCCCCACGCCAGCGGAGGAACTAGCTCGCGCGCGTGGCCAGCCTCCGGAAAGAGAATATGTGGACACGCCTCGGCTATTCAGCGACCCACAGCCCATGCTCGACAAGCAGCCCTTTCTCTCAGCCTTTAGGGCGCGCGATCCCCAACAGGTCCTTTCAGATCGAACTCTTCTGCGCATCTATACTTCCGTCGCAGCCGACCCGATCATGCAAGCGAAGAGCAAGGATGAAAGCGGACCGAGGCTGACTGTGAAGCTGCTAGGCATGGGGATGCCGAGCAAATTGAC